TCGAAGGATTTCAACCTCTTATGCCTCCCTTCCTTGACACAAACATAATCTTGAAGGATTCCGACCCTTTATAACTCCCATCTGATATCTTTCAAATCATATAAAGCATCAAATCATCATATCATAACAAATACAGAGTAATTGAGCACATATCAAAATTTCACTTTTTTCGTATAGCGGCTGACAACAGAAGCCAATGAATAAAAAATGTATAATTTCAGAAAATTACCAAATTACAATATATCGTATAAAATAACATTTCAAAGCTTTTACAGTACTAAAGCAATATTTTTCAACATTCGGATAATTTTCTATATGATAAAAGCTCAACATATTTCAAAATATCCGGTACAAAATTTCTAGAAAATACTCAAATCGTACAAAATTATCATCTCTACGACATACCAAAAGTTATGAGGTAAAAGTTTTACCGATACAAAGATATAACCGTTTTTCGCTAATGAAAACAATATTTTAATCAGAAAAATTTGTCAAAAATCACATTTTTGAAAATTGAGAAAGACATAATATGCCTTACCTCGAGTCGAACAACTTTCCCAACTACGGCAATGGACGAAAATGGACCGAAGACATCCAAAACGTGTCTTTTCCTCTTTTTCCTTTGTTTTCTCTCTCTTCAAAAAAAATCTCAAATCAGATATTTAATGAACTCGATCGTCCCGATGATGTTTCTCGTTCGTCCCGGGATGATCTCCTCTGGACACAGATCATACAGACGATATTTGACTTTCGTCCCTAGACGATGTCCTCTGGCAAAATTTTTTGTTTTGTTCATCCCGGACGAACTCAGGTTTGTACGGACGAACCTACAATTTACTCAGTTCGTACAGACTTACCATACAGATTTTCAAAACTTTCTTCAATTCGTACAGACGGTTCGTATGTACTAACTGCACAATTTTTTTTTTTTTCAATAATAACTTAAAATTTAAGGGTTTCACACCTACATTGTCAGCATTACAAGAGATTACTAAATGACCCTCCTTACCAACACCAACAACCTCATCGCATAAAGTCAAATCCACGCTTCTATTGACCTGCCTAGAAATGAGCTTCACAGTTGATGGCAAAACACCCTCATTACCCACATTAGAAGAGGGAATATTATGAGGAATAATTGCAACATCAACATTTCCATCAAATGCAACCGTATCCAAAGCGGTAGATGCACTCCCAATAGCATTCCCAAGATACGAAGTGGGATTAGAAGTCTTCGGAATTGAGGAATGGGAGAACATTCACGCATAAAATGCCCAATGCATTTACAGGAATCACAAAATGATGGAAAATCCTCCATCTCAACTATTTGAATATAGCCGAATTTTTTAGGACCAAGCTAGACTTTGTTCGAATATTTTTTTGTGATGTCAAACTCAACTAAAACCCGCGCAATAGAGGGTTAAGAGCCCACAGAGGTAACATTGTCAACTTTTAAGGGCCGAACAAACATAGAACCCAAAAGCATGAAGGATCCGTGGAGGAAAAAAAAACGAGGCCTTAATTTTGGAAAGAAAATCCAAATGAAAATTATAGGGGACTCAACACCGATATCAAGAGTAGGGGAGCATTTAGTTAATGTCATGAAACCATTATTTACAAAATAGGATCTATGACAAAATACTCTACTATGATCCAGATCATTTGACAACTTAATCAGAACATACGATGCATCAAGCAAAGTCACAGAAAAACTCAACATTTAGATTAAGGTTGAAGAAGAACTTGCAAATAAAATCCAAACTAGGATGACATGATGGTAAAAAAACCCACTAACGCAAATTGGAAAGGAGCCGCAAGCGCCCGAATCCCATTTTCCAAAATCCACAAAGATGGAATACCATGAATGAAGATGATTTTAACTCTGGAAATCCACCATTAGAGGAAGATCCAGCCAGGGCATCAATGAAGGATCTTGATTTCACAGCTCCACCCAAAAATTCAGGATCACAAACTCGATTCACCTCCATTCCGATCACAAAGGTCAAAGGTGGAGGAATCAAGAAGCCAAATAGAATGAAAAAAAAAGCAACAATAGAAATGAGAAAAGGGAAGTATCTTGCTTGAAACCCAACATATGACGGCCAAAGCCATCGGGAGAGAATCGGAGCAGCCCTAGCACGCAGGGGCAGGCACGAATGAGCTGCTGGAAGCTAACCTAGCGGAGCCCTTGTCGACGCGGGAGAAAAGATGTCGTGGTGACGAGCAAATGCCACGAAGTGAATTTCATGGAGGATTTAAAGTTGTTATTTTTGTTGTTTGGTAGGATTTATGTTAAATACTGCTCAAATCTTGATACTAAACAGCTCCTTTGTTATCGGGCTTGTTTGGATGCAGGTAGGATTTAACTTAACTAAGATTTTATAAATCATGCTAATTCAGATTTCTTAAATTCTAAATGAGTTGTTCTGAAAACTATTTTCCAAGAAATGTATTAAATCTTGATAAATCCTATGAGATTTAAGGTGGCTAACTCATAAGATCTAATAATCTAATTACTCATTATAATACTAATTATTTAATTATTTATTTAGATATGATTAGTAAGTAGCTTAATATTAATTATAATTATATTTAATTAATTAATAATTATCAGGTTTGCTTTTCCTCTTCTCCATATTTTTCTTTGATGTTTCACGTGAGGTCGGCGAGGTAGAGTTTGAACGAGGCGCTGCCTTTTCGCCTCCTTCGACGACGTAACTGTCTCCATTTCTTCCGCGACGTTCAACTTCGCCTGTTGCTGCCTCGTCTTCGTGTGAAGTAGATTTTTGAAATAGTCGCTTAATGAAGCTTCTCCGCCTCCTCCGACGACATTGTTGTTCCTGTCGGATCGGAAGTCGCGAGGGAGCTCACCACGAAGGTAATGCTATTTCTCCGCGTTCGCGCGCTGCTTCGGCTTTAAGAAATCCGGGATTAGGGAAAAATGTCGAAAACGCCGTGATGTGGAACTTAGATTTACTGTGAGATTTAACTCTGCGTTTTTTTACGTTTGGCAGGATTTAGCACAAATTTTACATAAATTCGGCATAAACAGCATCCAAAGCTGTCAACTTAGATTCATTTGGAACGGCTGCTTTCATTAACCATCGTTTTACCTAGCCGGCAACCATCCCTCACCTCTCTGGCAGCTATCTTTAACGGCGCCTGTGACCATCCCTTGTTTGTCCTGAGCTATCTCTCACAGCCAGCGTGGCCGCAGGCTCCAAGCAGGGAGCCCACTCATCTGGCAGGCACATGTCTCTTCCGTCGTGATATTTTAAGAAACAAGTATATTTCTGTTTTCTTGTTCAAAATTCTCTCATTTTTAGTTATCTGTGAATATAAATTTCAGAGCAATTCCTAATCTTTATTTTCTTTTAGAGGAAGAACTCTCGTTATTCTCATTCTTTTTGTGTGAAGAAAAAAATAAGGATTACTCTCACCTAAATTGTTCAATCATTTCTCTTTTATATTTTTCCTGTTCTTAACAAACACTTCTCTTAGCATCAAAGTATCACTTTAGGGTCTGTTTGGTTGAAGGTTAGTAAATCGAACATGAGCTATGATCAAAATTATTGAGTTGAATAATGAGCTAAGCTCTGCTTGAATAGAACATGAATTGAACTAAGTCTTGATCAGATTGAGCTAGCTTGAGCACAGATCAAATTTATGCGCCTATATGTATGAATCTATTCACACACACACTTTTGCTTGGCTCGAGATTGGATCGAATGACATTGCGCCACTCTTGAGTCCGGGTCAGCTAGGCTTGAGATCAAATTATTAAAAGACTCACTCATGAAGTTCGTATCACATTCGTTATGTTATTGAATCCAAAGAATTTATGTTCACCAAATTTTTTGGGATAAAAATATTTTTTGATGCACTAAACATATAAATATGATTCCTTTTTTTTCAAAAGCAAATGGACCACGTATGGAATTTTTTAGCAGATTTGTGTGTAAACTGTGAAGGTTTGGGGTAGTGGACTCGTGTTTTTATAGCCAACTATGTTGTTGAATCCAATGAATTTAATGAGCACCATATTTCGAATGGACATCATTGTGATGGCTAGTATTGTTAGTGTATGGAATCAAATCACAGGTCACGATTCTTTCTATTCTCATTTTGAATGGTTGAAATTTACTTTAACTTGCATAGTTGGCTGATGAGAGCTCTCCTTTGTGAAGTTCTATAAGACTTTCATCCAACTATTCTTATAAAAGATTGTTTGTTATCAATTATTGTTTAAAATTGCGTAGTGTGAGGTTAGCATTCATGCAATTCCGGCAAAAAATTCCTTGAGGCATACACCTCAAGCATTTTTTTTTAATGACGCGTGCCTTAATTTTGCTGAGGCGAGTTTGTCTCACTAGCATGAGGTGTACGTCTCACTCTCACTCACTCTCTCTCTCTCTCTCTCTCTCTCTCTCTGTTGACGCTTATTTTCGTGTTGACCAGACCCCGATCGAGCCTGTTCGTGCTCGATCGACCCAAGTGATCGTCGTCGAGGCAAAATCGACTCAAATTAGACCCCGATTTGATTAAATTAAATTTGTTTTAGTCAAATTAAATCAAATTTAATTCGATTAAAGTCAAATCAAATTAAATTGAACCCCGTCGAACGTCGTCGAGCCCCCCAACTATTCTTATAAAAGATTGTTTGTTATCAATCATTGTTTACAATTGCGTAGTGTGAGGTTTGCATTAATGCAATTCCGACAAAAAATTTCTTGAGGCATACCCCTCAAGCCTTTTTTTTTTTTAATGACGTGTGCCTTAATTTTGCTGAGGCGCGTTTGTCTCACTAGCATGAGGTGTACGTCTCACTCTCACTCTCTCTCTCTGTCTCTCTGTTGACGCTTATTTTCGTGTCGAGCTAACTCTGAAAAGACATAAAGCGTTAATATTAAATTAAAAAAATCCTAACAGATGGCGCATTTTTATTGGTGACCGAACGGAGAGATGGCTTCGGTCACTTGACCCAATAATTTGCCCAGTTCGTGCGCCTCAAGGAGCGTGAGAGGAGAGGGGACTTTCATTTTCGTTCGCCCGTCCCGACCCTGAGAGAGAGCGAAGTAGCGAATGAGAGAGAGAGCGGTAGAGAGCGGGAGACAGAGGGCGATTTTTGCACCCTGGCTTTCGTTCGGCTCCCCCCTCGCGTGCGACGCCTTCGGCCGAACCTCCTGGAGGTGTCGGCTCCCTCCCTGCTGCCTGTCGTCTTCCTCTCAACGAGCCAAAGCCGCAAGTGTGCGGCTCTCCCAAGTGAAGGAGGAGGTGGAGTTGTGGATTTGAGCTCTTCTTCTCATTCCAAGGAAGCAAATCAAAAGTTGAGACAAACATTTACTTCCTTTCTCAAAGATCAACGAAGCTAGTGGCTTTTCTTCCTTCCTCTTTCAATTCGGACGCCCTCGAGGCGAGTTGGAAGCTGTTGGAGACTTCCAAATAGCAAAGGAGGGCTTCTATATCCTCCAAACAGCAGTTTGGAGCCCCCAAAACACCTTGGACAGCAAAGGTGACGTTGGGAACATCAATGACAGCACATAGAACTTGGATTGGAGCTTGGCAAAGGCTTGGACAGCAAACTAGGAGCTTGTACAGTGGCTTGGATTACAATTTGGAGCGCTAGGACAACTCGTGAGAGGTATAACTTTGAAACTTAGTGAAACATAGGGTCCCCCAAGGCCAATTGTTGTGTGGTTGACGCCTCCAAGCTTTAGGTCCTTAGAAACTTCAATTTTCGCTCTCCTAAAATCCTATCCCCGTTGTCCACTTGTTTAAATCGTGGAGATCAAGTGATTTTCCATGATTTGCCCTCATATGAGAGCTAAAAGGATGGCGGCAAGGCGGTGGGGCATCGAATTAGTATTCAACGTCCCTATTTTTGCATGATTATACCATTCATGTCATATTTAGTGTTCTTACTTACGACCAAATCCTAGGTTTTGGTGGCTCATTCAATGTTCAAGAAAATGTAGGAACGTAAAGTCTCATATTTAAATGTGGCTTGCGTTAACATACCCCTAAAAACTTGCATGTTATGACAAAATTTAGTATGCATGTGATAGGTTTACACCGCCATGACATTTACTATTCCTTCTAAATTTGCTAGATGCTTAAACATGCATTCCAATTATTTTTATAAAGTTGTGAGATTTTTTATGAGCATTATTGGTTCATGTTTCAAATCCCACAATCAATATATTGATTGGAAGACATAGTTGAACTTCTCCAAATTTAGGGAGATAAAGCGAAACTCTCTTTATTATGCGCTTTCATTTCTCAATATTAAATTAAGCTTATATGAGTTGTTGTCTTTGATTGTTCGCTCTATGTCAATGGCTATAGTCCTTGTACCTACAATTTGCAAAATCATGAATGTGCTCATCAAACTTATGGATGCTTGCAAAGCAAAGATGGAGTGGTTTATGTCTTCAATGAGCTTATAGATTGCACCCCATCATATATTGAAAGTTTGTTCGACATGTTTAGTGTAGTTTGTAAGTTGATGGGTTAATGGTTTTAACACATAACTTAGGTATTTGGTGAAGCTTTCGAAAAGACAATCGAAAACCTTCACCCTTAGATCTTCCCTTAGACTCTAGTAAACCAATTCTTAGAGCCTATCCATAGGGTTTCCAATGACATTCCATTTTATGTGACACAATGTGTTATCTTTCCAAGAAGAGTCGTAGGAGCAAGTCCACCCTATCAAACTTCCCAAATCATGCCAAAATTGATTTGGAAACCTTTTCATTGAGTTGAAAGCTCTCTAGTTGTCTTCCCTTTCTCATGTATGAAAATTCGGAGCATCTCAAAGCGTCATTTTTCCATTGCATGAACAATCTCAACTTAGGATTCTAAAAATCCTAAATTCAAATCTCTTTGCTTGTAAGTACAAATTCTACAAGCACTCACCCATCTCTCCAAATGCATGATAATTGGAACCTTCTCGAGGCCCCAAACACATATCATTGCATGACTTTTGGAGCATCCTCAATGCTCCAAATGTTTTGTCGTTTGACTCCTAGCATATCTTAGGAGTTATCATCAACCTTTATCGTGCATTGCGTTATTGATTTCCAAAAAAAAAAAAAAAATCCTTAATGCATCATGTTACAAGCTTTAGAAACTTGGAGCCAAAATCCAAGTTTTCTTACATCTCTTGTTGGAACCCCAAAACCAACAAGCATCCTCTCATGTGAGATGAATTGAAGTCTCTCAAGCCTTCAAATGTGCCACCACATGAGTCATTCTATTGGCTGGAACAAAAAAAACAACAAATAGCTTTCTTGCTTGATGCTTTCCAAATCACCTCTAAAGAAATTAAAGAGCACTAGTAGACTCTGGGATCAAATCCTAAGTCTCCTCTCCATTTGCTAACAACACGAAGTTAACAAATCCCCTCATGTATAGTAATTTGAAGTTTCCCCTAAACTTCTATTTAATATTGCATGATGTTATTAACCTTAGAACCAAACTCTAAGTTCTTTCTTTCAATTGTTTGAGCCTAAGTTTATCAATTGAACATCCCGCTTAGGCTTAGGATTTAAAACCTAGTCTTTCCTCTCTATTCACTTAACCCAAGATTAAGTGAATGATCATACTTCTTTGAATACCAAATATTCAAAGTCATTCTATGAAATTTTGTAACTTTCTAAGTTACATTTTCTTCCTTCAACTCCAAAGTTGTAGAAAGCTTATCTAATCTTTTATTTATTGGGTTACAAACCAATGAGTAATCCCTTAGATATAAGATTCGAATCATAGTCTTCAACATTTGCTTAGTCGCTAAATAAGCAAATGAAGGATCCTCTTTGGACACCAAATGTCCAAGGAATTCCTTTCAATATGCAATCCAAACGTTGCTTGTTGCTTCTCTCTTCTACAACTTAAGAGTTGTAGAAAGTCCTCTCATCCTCCTAAGCCCAAATCTAGGAGAATGATCATTCCCACTTTTGAACACCAAATGTTCAAGGGCACTCATGAATGTGGAACCTCCAAGTTGCACATGATTTCCCTCTTTCTACAACCCAAAAGTTATAGGAAAACCCTCTTATTATCCTAAAACTTAAAATTAGGAGAATGTACACGTCTCTTTGAATACCAAATGTTCAAAGAATGTTCTTGAACTTGCAACTCATAAGTTGCATCTTTCTCCCTCTTTCCTACAAGTCATGATTGTAGGAGAGTATTTAAATTCGTATTCATGCTCCCAAACCCAAATTGGGAGGATAAATCCCCTCTTTGGACACCATGCGTTCAAAGAAACTACTCCAATTTGCAACCTCTAAGTTGCACTTTGGGCCACTTCTTTTCCTACAATTCTAAATTGTAGGAAATCTCTCAATTCCCCTTCATTTGCCTAGCCTCAAATTAGGCAAATGAATTTATTTCTTTGAACATCAAAAGTTTAAGGAACATTTTGTGGATTTGCAACCCACAAGTTGCATGTTCCTTCCCTCATCTCTACAACTCAAAATTGTAGGAATTCCTCTCACCAATTGATTCAAATTGGATGGGTGAATGCCCCTTTCTTTGAACACCAAATGTTCAAAGAAATTATTCCACTTTGAAACTTTCAAGTTGCATTTCCATTCCTCTTTCTTACAAGTCAAGATGGTAGGAAAGCGTCCGAATCTATCTTCTTACCCTCATTCTTCTAACTTAAATTAGAAGAGTGTATTCCCTCCTTTGAATAATTAAATGTTCAAAGGACTTTCAAGAGTTTGCAACTCTCAATTTGCATCTCATTCTTCTCCATCCCTCCAACCTAAATTGGAGGAATGAATCCTTGTTCTTTGGATACCAAATGTTCAAATAATCCTCTTAGGGTTGTAACTTTCAAGTCACATCCCCTCTCCTTTTCTCCTCCAACCCAAAATTGGAGGAATAAAACTTTTTCTTTGGACATCACATGTCCAAAGGAATTCCTCCAATTTGCAATCCCTAGGTTGCACATTGGACCACTTCTTTCCCTACAAATCTAGATTGTAGGCAACCACCAAGATTCCCTTCATTTATCTTAACCCAAATTAAGAAAATGAAACTCTACCTCCTTGGATATAAAAATTCAAGGAGGCACCCTCTTGATTTAACCTTAAGGTTACAAATCCTCTTTCATTCCTATAGACTCTAAAAGTCTTAAGGAATTCCTCACCTTAGCTCAAAGCCATAGGTTCCTTCACTTTCCTTTCCCTTCTACTTTCCTAAACCTAAGTTAGGAGAGTATACCCCTCTCTTTGAACACCAAATGTTCAAAGAGATATTCGAAAGGTTGCAACCCCTAAGTTGCACATTCCTCTCTTCTCTACAAACTCAAAATTGTAGAGAAATTCAACTTTCCTACAACTCAAAAGTTGTATAGGATTTCCTTATACTCAATCCATGTTGGGTTGTTTAATCTAATTCTATTTGTCTTACTCGTTGAACCAAAAGCAACAAGTAACTTCATCCCAAACATAGGATTCAAAGTCATATTTTTTTCTTCACCCTTCCAACTTGAGTTGGAAGGGTGCAACTGTCTTTTTAGGCACCAAAGTGTCCAAAGACCTTTATGAACTTGCAACTCAAAAATTATATTTTCTCTCAATTCTCCTCAAACTCCAAAGTTGTAAGAAACTTCTCCTCTCTTTAGCTCCAAAAGCTAGAGAGAGCTCTCCAACATTTAGCTCAAAAGCTAAATATTAGATTCTTACCCTTTCTTCTTAGCTCCAAAAGCTAAGGGAAAATCCCTCAACATGTGGCCCAAATGCTTTGGGCCACATGTTGTACACTTCTTACTTAGACCCAAACTCTAGGAGGACCTTTAGTGTAACATATCACACAAGCCTCACATACTTAGGTGCACAACCCCTTAGACATGCTAGGATTAGAATTTTTCTTTGTGTGCGCATGTGATTGATATTGTGGAGTGATTGACTTTTGTATTATCTGCGTTGTGGGCACTTGCCCTTAAGTGGTTAATATAGAAAGATATACATGCTTTTCTATGCAGGTGACCATGTTCGAAATGGGGTAAATTAAATCATGATTATCATAATATTGTTTACTTGCAGGCGCTGCTTAGACCCTCCAAGAGGCATAGCCAATAGGGTAGAAGTAGGGGCTTAGCACTTAGCACTCAATTTTGGGATGATTATATGCTTATTATATAAACTATCTCCTAAGTCTATTTTGCAGATTTGAGTCTTTATCTATTTCATATCATGTATTTGCTTAGATCTAAGATGTAAAACTTATGGGGCTTGATTAAAAAGAAGGGAGGATCGAAGGAGAATGTACCATTTTGGAGATGAACCTCTCTGAAGGTTAAAGCTTGAAGACCTCCACAAGTAGAGTCTGTAAATTTGACTGGGTTGTATAATGACAGGCAACTCAGCTGCCAAACATACTTGTAACGACTTAGACTATCTACATTTATTGCACTTTATTTATATATAAAAGCATGCGTTGTTTGTTTATTGGGTGCGCAATAGAAATGCATATTTTTCCTAAGTTTTTTTCTTTGCTTTATTTCAGTGTGGCCTGGACTCTGTTGCGTTAGACTCTTAGGATAAAATAAATTTTCTACTCTCTTAAAATGTAAGCAACATAAAAATGAAATTAGGCTCCATGGTTTCCTAATAAAAGAAATGTGCATGGCTCTTTTTAAGTAACCAAATTTTCAAAACTTAAAATAATCATGCATAGCCAAAGTGTGTCACATATAAAATGCTTCCACTTAAGGACTAGATAACAAAAATCTCTCTTTTTGTGAGTCAGCATATACATATCCACATAATTAGGCATTTTGGCCTCAAAATCAAGCTATAAGCCATACGTTCTAAATAAAAATAACCTTCTCACTCTATATTTGCATTACGACCGGATGACATGGTTTTAAAAACGATTAGGAGGGTCTAGCTGGTAGTCCCTTCCAGGCGGGACAGTAAATCCAGAGGTCAGGGCAGGCTATGCCTCTTGTGAGGTGTAGTTTGTAAGCCCCTTTGCACTCGTTAGATTTAGGTTCGAGGCACTACCTATCGGTAGTCCTCACCTTAGTCTTAGGGTCCGAGGCATGGATTGATTCCAAATCATCCTATAAGCCCTCATCTTTCGGGCAATTACTACAACATATGTTGAAGGAATGTAAGTCCTAACATTCTAAATAAAAATATCAACTTAAAGCAAAGTTAGATTGCTAAAATGTAAAGCCCAACATAGGATAGTTTGAGCACCTCTGTCTATCCCTCAGAATCAAGTGCTCATACTTCACCTTCCATTGGCTCTCATTTCAAATCTAATTCTAAGTTGATCTTTTCACCTCCTTGGAATTCCTAAAGGACCAAACCCTTTAACTAAGACTTTCTTGGATTTCAAAAAAAAAAAAAAAAAAACTTCAGCCAACATTTGAATGACTCTAAAAGAACAAGCAAAATCATTAGTTTAATCAAAAGTCTTCCCAAGCCAAAACTTGGGATGTAATTAACCATAGTGACTTGCCCCTATGGGATGTCTGTACCCCAGAAATAAACAAATCACGCTCGACCAAACATCGAGTTGGGGAATCTCTGTTAATAATTGTAAATTTTATAGTTAAGTCCATAAGGAAATGAGATTTTTACCCTTCAGGGTAATATATCATGTTCTTATGCCGTACTCGCTTATAAAGTATGCAATCCGTTTGAGGATACAAAAATTCTCCAACACCAGGATGTTGCTGAAATCATGCCAATTTGTTACTTCATAGTTCAATAGAGAGTTAATACGTTATATTTTAACATATTATTTGATTATTATTAAAAAAATAACTTTTAAAATTTATTTTAACTTTACATAATTCTTGGATTTTGAGGCTTATGCCTCAAAATTCCTTAAGACTTACGTCTTGCCTCACGGATGAAAAATACCTTAGTACCCACTTGTGCAATTTTAAACATTGGCATCGATTCATGTTTGTTAAAGAATCTTTTCCCCCCGGATACTTTGATTACTCGTAGTTGATCTTTGTAGATACTATCATTATCTCCTCTAACTACTTTTGAATACTTTTCCTTGATAGCCTATTTTATGTTCTCCGTAGGACTAGGAAATTGCTGATGAGATATAACCGAAGGAAATGTTTTGGTCTAATTTTGATCTTGTTTTGATAGACGTTCATGTTTGTACAGGAGAAGTTTGTGAACTGTATGATAGAAACTTTTGTCTTATTTCATATGAGAACAAAGCTTGAATTTGTTGAATTCTGGTTATTCCCATGGCGTGATCTGGACCCAAAGTTTCATTCTACAGTTCCAAAGAGTACACGTTTCATTAAGACGTGACCTTGTTCTCCTCAGTTCACCATAATAACACTATTGTATTCTTAGCATCGCCATTGTTATTCATTTGTTATAAAGGAAGACATTTCATTTCTCCTCTTTTATTACTTTGATCCATGATGTCTCTGCAGTTTTTTGTGAATGATATCTTTTGAACCTTGGACATGAGGTTTAGCGTCATATTCCTTTCATCTCCATTCCTAGAAAAGACTGCGTTTGGAGTTTTTTCTTTTACAAATATGCATACTTACCAATTAAACATTCTGTTGGCATTTCACTCCTTCCGGTACCACTTGAATTTCTACTTGTTGCTTTTCAATCACAGGGGTTGTCTTCTTCCTGTTCTGTTATTATTTTGTTGTTGCGTTAGCCTTTCCTTCATTGGGTCAACTTCTTTGATAGTTTGGCTTTTTCTTCAGAGTAAAGAGTTGATGGAAGCACATTCTCTTCAGCAATGCTAGTCATATCTCCCGATCCAGATGGGCTTGGTTACCATATTAGTTTGTTTTTAATCTATAACAACATGCTATCTTGTTGTTTATAGCTTTCATTTTGAGATGTTTCTGTTTATGCTTTATTTCGTAGAATGTTTTAGCTGTTCGGGATTTGTTTGCTGGTTCATTATCCATATTCTATTGCTCTTTGCTAATTTAATATTTACCAATTGCATTGGATGCTAATTTATTGATAGCCTTTCCATGCAGCAAGTTATTTCGTCAAATATTGAGATGATATTTCCAACACAATTAGAATCTGGGGTGCCTTCTAGTTTGCAATCAGCGCAACCCATTCAGCATGCTTTTAACACCTTTTGGCGAGCAGACCATGTGCATGAACATTTAAGGAACTTGCAGGAAACTATTCATCTATTAAAATCAGTGTATGTATTTATGGTGTCATATTTTATCACAAAACAAAACTAATTTACATTATCCTGGGGCACATTGGACCATTAGATCAGCCAGCCTCTTATAAGCACGATCTAATTGTTTATTCTTTGGCAGGCAGAAAGAACTAGAGGGAATTTATCTAATCAAAAGATCCAATTATACTGTTGAAGTTGATGGAATGCCTTCTAATTACTTGCAAGGACAAAAGTTGCTTTCTTCTCCCTCAGATTCCTTTGGGAATGAAATGCTTTATAATATAACTGAGATAATTAAAGAGAAGAAAGTTTGCCCGGAAGTACAAGAATCTCTTTCTTTAGAAGCCGCGAACTCATTAGTTGCAACTGTGAAAAGCCAACTTTCCCCATTTAATGCCATCACGAGCCAGACAAGTCAATGGGAGGAAAAGTCCATGGCAGTGAAGTTAGTTCAAAAGCTGCAAAAGTACAAGAGGAATAAACATTGGAAAAAGAGAAAAAGAAAACAAGTTGCAGAGCTGCTACAGATGGTTGCTTGGATCCTACCTTTAGATTATGCATTTATTCCTTACTGACAGCTTGTAAAACTGTGCAAATCCTACTTTTTTTTAAAAAGCATGTTGGTAAATTTGGCTGTTGCATACTATGCCTTGAATATTTGAATCTATGATTATGATGATTGTCTTTCTGTTTTACCTGTTGCCCAATAGGAGCATGAGCGATATGATAAGGCCGATGAAGATGCTGATGAGTGGAGGGCAAGAGAGATTGCCAAGGACATTGCAAAACGCAAGGTACCATTACCATCTTTTGCAGGTGCTGGTTTGCCTTTTTGATAAAATATCTGGATGTCTGTTTTTGTTAATACCTAGCAGCCATCAGTTAATTGAAATTGACCTGTATCTTGATGTGCTTATGCTGAAAAAATTCATAAATTATCTTCTTACTCAAAACATTGTTTATAGTTATACATTTTTCATGACCTGGTTCTTGTTTAATTCATGCTACTATTCTACCCTCTTATGACATTGTTGTTCTTTTAGTGCAACTTCTAATATCTCCAACTTCCAATTTCAAATGCAAAGCATTACAGGCAACGGCTTCAAAAACTGGTAGCTTGATAGTATGAGTGAACGGTGATGGAAAGCTAAGATAATGTATACATGTTACTGACTTTTAGAAATTCACATGATTTCAGGTTAGGATTTTTGGTGTTTTAGTGAGGCTGATTGGATATATTTGTAAAAGAGTTTCCCTATAAAAGGGCTTTGTCTATCCCTCCATATTGAGATCGTAATCTTGGTTAATGAGTCCTATGGCATTACCCTTTGTGTTGGCATTTGGCACATGTAAGTGTCATGTTCCTTTAAACTACTGCTCTGGTAATGAATATTGAGATGGTTGTAACGTTGCTTAGATGTCATGGTTCTATTATTTAGGGATTTATGCCAATGATCCTTAGCCTTGACAATTTAGCACCAGGAGAGGTACTTCATGCCTTGCTTCTTACATTACGCCAGGGAACTTGCAAATGATTAATAGCATGATTAATAGTATGTGTCGAACAATCTTGTTTGCGATTATTGGGTGCCACGTTAAGAACTATGTTTTTTTGTGATACATCTTGGTTTGTTTCATTGGAAAGGGGTTTACTATAGGGTAAATTGCGTGTCTGAAAATAATAAAATACAGCTGATTGTGACTCAAATGGGTGAAGTATACTTGATTGTTGTTTAGAGACATTAGGCATGTTTATTGATAGATGGTTAAAAGAAATAATATGTTCAACAATGGCTTAAAGGTATATTATGAAAAACTCAATTATGTATCAACAAACATTAATCTAGATTGAAATGTTAGTTTTTGAAAATTTATTGTTGTTTTTAATATAGTGACATGAAGCCTATGTATTAACATGGAAGGCATTTATATTTTGTTATTTTGGCGTGCACCAATTCTTGAACATGCTTGTTGATGTAATTTATTATAGGACGTGTTGTTGACTTGACACTTTTTGATAAGTTTGAAGGTTATTTACTGGTTGAATTAGGGCCTTACCACACTTTTTGTGTATTATGTTTGGTGCATGGGTGCCTTTTCATGCTTTTGGGTGCAATACATGGGATTAGTATTTACTATTGGATGCCTTTCCACGTTAACACTTTATTGATATATTTAAATCAGGTGCTTTGGTAAGCTTATTAAGGTTAAGGCTTGATTAGAATCTTTCAATCAACTATGAACCAAATGTGATCATACTCATGTGTTGATGATTAGCTTGATCAACCAAGTTGGATATTTATAATTTTGAAATATATTTAAGGGGTGATTATACACTTTTCAAAAAAGTTAGGGGTGTTGTTTGTATCGTTGAGGCTTATGGATTCTTTGATCCTTTTGAAAGTTACTTAGAAGCTTGATTTTGAAGATTAAATCTTTAGAGTATTCTAGTCTTGTTTACTCGGACGGGCATATTGATTTTTTAAAATCTTAGTTGTCATTTCAATAAATTTGAACTTCCATTGGAGTAGATAGAAGATTTTGAGCTCTAGAGGTCAATTTAGTTAGTTTAATTTCCTGACGAGAGCAACTTGAATGTGTTTTGTTTGCGTTGTCGTGTCAAGAGTGAAATTCTTTTTAATGTTTAACTTAAATAAATTGTAATTAAACATCTGCCAAGAAATTTTTACATTAGATAGCACATGAAAGTATATTTTTCATTTGTGAATTCTCGGTGGGGCAGATTAGGCATTTTAGCCTACGATATTTAGGCCATGTATCTACGATGTACATTTTGGGTAGAATGCATGATACATTTCTCCCTAACATGAGGTATATCCAATTCATTTTCCATTGTTTTGCAGATTTTGTTTAGGTAACATGTGTCTACTCAATCATCTCATTTAAGTTGTTGCATAGTTTGCTAGAAATGCCCATTTGAAGTGCCTTTGGGGAATTTTAGCTAGGAACATACGTAACTTAAATAACCCTAGAATGCTATCAAAATTGATGGATGCCAATAAAAATCAGAATGTCTACATCAAATCATTATTATAGGCAATATAAGAATGATGTGTGCCATGGTTTTTGCCACATGAAAGATCCATTGAAAGAAAACAATTTAAAATTAAGAATTGAAAAATATCTTCAATGGTGGATGTTGATATTACTTTATTCTATGTTGGATTGGTGATGGAAAGTCCTAATCATATTGTGAGAATCAGACTTATCAGGTTCAGCAGAATCGGCCCGGTTCAGCAGAACCGGCTATGTATTGTAGCACTGAGCGTAATCGAGAGCAGAAACTCGAAACCGAGTGGGCCGCATGATGCGCCTATTTGACGGATCGTTTCACCGTTTTAAGTGACTAATCACGTGTAGGAGGGAAAAATAGCGACTCATCGTGAGTTATAACTTCTATTCGTTGATTCCTTTTGGAGCAACTCGCGTGAGAAGTGTCAGTTGAGAGAAACGGCTATGAGGAAGAAGAAGGAAGAAAGGAAGTTTTCAATTTCATTTCTTTTGACATTTTTTCTCTTATGTGATTTAATTCTAAGAAAAGATAAGTTATTTTAAAGGGAGATAGAAGAAATTGAAAAAGGAAGTGAAGAAATTTTGGGGTAAACAAATCATTGAATTTTCATTTATATTGATCGAAGGGATAATTGAATTTAATTGTTTTTTTACATTCATAAGTATTTTTTTTTCTCTAACTGACAACATAATAAGTGATTAACAAATAGGAAGAAGAAATATGATGGGGAGTGTCTTGATTCAAAGCGAAAGAGAAGAATACATTTTGAGGTAATTATAAGTGCACGAGATTTTAAATTAAGTCATGAATATCAAATAGTAAATTGAATTTAGAAGCATAATGAAGTTATGGCATAGAATCTACTTAAAGAGAGAAGAAATTTTAAAATATTAAGTTAGAGAATTCACTAGTAGTATGTGAAATTGTTAATAATAAAGTCTTTTATATAGGTAAATATAAAAATTATCTATGTGCATTCAATAACTAGTTCTAGAGAATGAGAACATTTCTAATGAATAATATTTGAGATGTTAATCACACAAATTAATTATAAGTAAACAAGTTAGAGAAGTTAAGAAAAATTTATCGCTTAAATTTTAACGACGAGGTCTTCCTAGGTATAATCTACCGTCATTGGAATAAGGAGCAAAAGTGAAGCAGCACATTTCTTAAGTTCAAGGTAAGCACTCATGCTTTTATTTTATAATAATGATGTTGTTTTCTTTAATTCAAGTTCATTGATTTAGTTAATATTGACTAACTAATGATTATTGTAAGATTATATTATTTCTTCTTTTTGAATGGTCATATTGAATTATTTTATAATTGGCATGATTATTTAACATATGCAAAGTTATTCAATGATAAATGAATGAAAAAATTATAGAATGCTTGTATGTGTATGTTGACTAATAGAGTCCACTCCTTATGGTATTGATTAGATACTCAATGTACCTGTGCACGTAAATGTTATGGAAAAGAAAAAAATGGAAAATGAGTACCTTTATTTGTACTAAATTAGACGGTGGCTCCTCTGACAGTTGTATTATTTATGAAAAAAAAAATATATAAATAAAGATACTATATATGCATAATAGTGAAAGTTTTGATATAAAATGAATTTAAATAGAATTACTTTATGAATTGAAATGCTCATACATATTATTTTCAATTATCTTAGATTATTGTAATTTAGAAGCATGTTTTACTTGCTGAGCTATGGCTTATTTTAGTTGCTTTAACATTTTTTCTGGTATAATTTAAAATAATCAAAATAGAAGAGGTGAAAATGTGTATCGTAGGCGTGAGTGCACCTGAAAAAAGGTATTTAAACAATTTTATTTTAATTTGTTTCAAATTTGAGGTTTAGTGTATCTTTTAGTGTATTAGAGATAGATTTAATAATTACAAATCTAATCTATCGTCTGATTGTCTGTTCCCGTCTAGTTAATTCTAGCATCCGGGTTGGGTTGCAACAAAAGTGGTATCAGAGCCCAAGGAGTATCTTAGGAATGTGAATCGTAATGAAAAATCCATATGAATGCTTTATGAGCTTATTCGAGAATTTAAAGATTTGATTAAATAATATAATTAATTAATTTATAAATATATATCAGGTCTACGAATGATCAAGAGGAAATAGCTGGTAGAAATATGTAAGGAGATGGACTTCCACTTGAAGTGATTGTGAACATGATACGCCCTAGGGTTTCCAAGTTAGGGTTTGCCCTAATGCTCTTCCAAAGATGAAATTTCTCTTCCAAATCCAAGAAAAAATCAACACGAGGGATGAGAGGAAGAACAAGAACCTTTGCATTCAAAATCCAAGAGAAACAAGATACAATTTGTCCACTTCGAGAAGGACAAGGTCTCCCACTACAAACCCTAGAAAAACAAGAGAAAGAAACTAAGGAGGCTAAGAGAAAACTCAAATCTTGCATAACCCTAGAAATCCCCCCTTAATCCCTACTTATAGCAAGCAAAAGACCAAACCAAACCCACTAGTGGGCTGCCCAAACTGAACCGCCCAGCTCAGGGCTGACCCGAGCCAAACCGGTCCAGAAATGGACCGGTTCCGCTCAAGTCGAAGCCCCCGCTCCGCTCTGCGTCAAGCTCCGCGCCCGCGTCCCTTCGCGCGATCCTTCGGAGGATCGGCCGACGCGGCCCTCCTTTCCGGCCGCTTCCGAGTGCTCCGGGGTCGCCGACCCTCCCTCTGCCCGTCGGCGGCGGCCTGCATCAGAACACTAATACCTTTACCCAGATGATGATGGCTATGACCCAAATGCTTCATGAATCAAGATCACAGCCTTAAGTTAAAGTTGATAAATATTTGAAGTTGTTTCAAGACATGCGAGCACTATTATTCACGAGTAATGAAGGACCAATTGAGGCTGAGAATTGGTTGCTTCATATAGAGAAAGAACACTAATACCTTTACTCAGATGATGATGGCTATGACCCAAATGCTTCATGAATCAAGATCACAGCCTTAAGTTAAAGTTGATAAATATTTGAAGTTGTTTCAAGACATGCGAGCACTATTATTCACGAGTAATGAAGGACCAATTGAGGCTGAGAATTGGTTGCTTCATATAGAGAAGATATTGGATAGCATGTCATATCCTGATGAAAAAGAATCGTCACTCGTTACATTTGTCTTGGATGGAGAAGCTGAAAGGTGGTGGAGAGGACAACGTGAAGACAGGCTGGGAGATATTCCAAATTTACTGGTCAATTGAGAACACTTTGTAGAACTGTTTAGAGAATGGTTCGTACGGTCGTACCTATGTCAGTAAGAAGATAGATGCAGGACATTTATAAGATTGATTCAAGGGGAAAAAACAGTGATGCAATACGAAGCAGAATTTACAACACTATCTAGATATGCACAACAGCTGATTACAATAGTAGAAGAAAAATGTTATAGATTCCTATCTGATTTAACAGATGCAATTAGACAACCTTTAGTACATTTAGGAATCGAGGATTATTTAATGTTGATGAAAAGAGTTAGAAGGGTGGAGATTGACTTTCAAATCAGTTAGAAGAGAAGGGACCAACATAAAAAGAAGAGTGTTGAAGAAGATATCCAAATCAATCAAATTGAAGGATCAAATGGGAAGAAGCCCAAGCTTAGTCCTAGTCGAGACAATAGTGCTGCTGTCAGTAAAGTCATGAAAGCTTCTGCTAAGTGTGACATATTACACAAGGGTGAATGTCCGATGGATTCCAACACTTGCTATTGGTGTCGTCAGACTGAACACATAACAAAATATTGCCTTACATTGGTTCAGAGGACTTCAGGAGAAATGAGATATAGTGAAGCACCTTCGCAGAGGATCTTTGAAAAACAAAAGATGATAGAACCATCAATTTCAGTTTCAGCATAAAATCAATTCAGGCAGAATGTTTGACCGCGAGTTTATGCTTTGACTCAACAAGAGCCTAACGAATCTATAGATGTTAATAAAGATGCATGAGCAACCCTTAATATAATAACTTGTTATGCTATATCAGATATTTTGAGTTTATTAGGTTATCTTGTTATGTTATATCAAATATTTAGTTTTATTCAGTTATGCATTTAATGTTGAAGTTTATGTTGAATAAAATTGAAGATGCTATTTGCTTATGTAACTAGAAGTTTAAGTAAATATTGAGGACAAAATTTTTATAAGTAGGGGAGATTGTGAGAATCGGACTTATCAAGTTCAACAAAACCGACCCGTTTCAGTAGAACCGGCTATGTACTGTAACACAGAGTAGAACCGAGAGCAGAAACACGAAACCAAGCGGTCGCGTGTGTATATGCGTATATTTTAAGGATCGTTTCGCCGTTCTAAGCGACTAATCGCGTGCAGGAGGGAAAAATAGCAACTCCTCGTGAGTCATAACTTCTATTCGCTGATTTCTTTTGGAGCAAATCGCGTGAGAAGTGTTAGTCGAGATAAACAACTACGAGGAAGAAGAAGGAAGAATGTAAGTTTCTAATTTCATTTCTTTTGACATTTTTCTTCTTTTGTGATTTAATCCTAAGAAAAGATAAGTTATTTTAAATGGAAGTAAAAGAGGAAATTGAAAAAGGAAGTGAAGAAATTTTGTGATAAACAAATTAGTGAATTTTCATTTATATCAATGGAAGGGGTAATTGAATTTAATTGTTCTTTGACATTCATAAATATTTTATTTTCTTTAACTGACAACATAATAAGTGATTAACGAATCGGAAGGAGAAATATGGTGGGAAGTGTCTTGATTCAAAGAGAATAGAAGAATACATTTTTGAGGTAATTATAAGTGCATGAGATTTTAAATTAAGTCATGAATATATCTAATAATAAATTGAATTCATAGAATCTACTTAAAGAGAAGAAATTTTAAAATATTAAGTTAGAGAATTCACTAGTAGTCTGTAGCGTTGTGATTGGGTGAGGGGGCGGAGAAGTCAACGGTGTTGTGGATAGTTAGGATGCTGCGGATGGGGTGGTTAGAGAGGAAGCCCGTGAGAGTTGTGTGCATGGTTGGTTGTGTGATAGCAAGGGAGAATTGAGCAAGAATCGGAGGGGGTGTTGGAGCGCGCTAGCTTGCTGGCTTTGGGAGTAGGGGAGATGAAGTGCAGAGGAACTAGCGAGCAGGTTTCAAGTTTGGAAATGAGAAGTGCTTGATTGCAAGGGACAATATTGCAGACTATCTGGATTTCGGGGATTAATTTGGTGTGGAACACGATTTGATTATATTTCTTATGTTTAATCATTAAAATCTCAAGTAGGTGAATTTGTATTTCATCCAAAGTGGGTTATTTCAAAGCTCAACAAATTGCATAAATTGCATGTAGTGATGGCGAAGCAGAATAAAAAATGGTCTCCTAGTAACTCTCACTACCAGTTCAAACGATGGGTGAATAAGCAATCCATACCAATACTACAACTCCACGAATCCATGTTAGAAACTAATACCATTACAAGCCCTTACCATAATTCCACTTAAAATCAGAATCCATGCAACCGCTCACTGGAACTGCAGCTACAGTCCTGCTTCACAAAGGCTTTTAAATACAGCGAAAGCAGTTGCATGGGCTTATTTAAAAGTTATAAGGTAATGAGAAAAGATTGAAGAATGCGTGGATGCACGATGTGGGAAGGAAGCCAGGGCAAGTTCTTCAGAAGGATAGGGAAGGGAAGGGAATGGTTTGTTAATATGAGTTAGACCTATTATAGGATGCATGTTTATTTTGGTTCGGACCATGGTCTTCATTTTACTTCTTAGAAAGAAGCGTGCCTACTGCTGTATTACATTTGGTAATATACTTTATTGTCTCCATCTTTTTTAGTCTTGCAATGATTTTTTTGGCAATTTTCCAAGGCCGTTTTGTTGTAATATCTTTGTTTTATCTTTCTCTGTACTGATGTTCCTGCAATTTTTATTACTTTAATTTGATAGCACATCCTTTTTCCTTAGCACTGAGATGTAGCAACTACAATTGTCAGTCTTCCTGAGTTCCAAACACATATTTTTGATTACTAAAATAAGTTGTTCGTCCTTTTTCACAAGCAGGGTATTGAGGATGTAATATTAATTGTTTTCTGTTCGTTTTAATGAGTTTTATCCAATGCCAGGTTATAACTTTGATTATATTAGAATCTGATTTTGGCATTTCCAGATGGAAAGCATGAAGTCAATTGCAAAGCTTAAAGCTATTGAGGAAAGAAAGAGATTAGAATCTGAGGTGAGCCATTCTACTGTTTAATGGATGACTTTTTTCAATTGACTTGTAATCCATTTATGAAAGTGATTAGAGCTTGTTGTTCGTTGCTAGTTGCCATTCCAGGTTTCTAGTATTCACGTGTTCTGCGGTGCATGTGAAGCTTTTCTTGTCATTCTTAATGACAGAAAAACTGTCCGAAAAGAATGACATTCTTATCTTGCACTACGAATGTGTATATTCCTCATTATCAGTTCATGGATTGCATATTACTGATATTTTAGCCATTCATCTGAGTTTCTTTGGAGAAGACTTGATTTCTCTAGAGAAAATTGCTAGAGTTTCAAATTATATTTGATGGCCTTGTTTGGTTCAAATGCCCAGCTAAGTGTACATTTGCTGATTCCTCCATGGCTTTTAGCCCTAACATTTTGCTACTACTATCTGTGTAGGCCGAGGTGCTAGAAGGAAGTCGAATGAATACTATTTAACTTTGTCATTGGTTGCGTCCTTCTATTATATTTTATTTTATGCTTTATTTTGATACGTAGCTGTGCAAACTGTTGCTATGAGCTCTATGCTTTTAACAACTTCTTCCTATGTTAGTTTTATCATGTTTCATTCCATAAATTAAGTTTTTTTTTGCTAACTCTGATGTGGTGTGTATTCTTTTCATTTTCATTTTCCTATTTAATGATGTTTTTGTGAGATTCATGTGAATCTGTTTGATGTAGGTCTGCGTATAAATGCGATGATTTAGTAAGAACTTGCACAACTTTTGATTAGAGAATAACGAAGAAAACAACAAGCATTTAAAACAACGGGTTAAAACGTAAGAGGGGTCACGTCCGCTTAGGCTAAGTCACATAACCAGAGATTTGAAACTTCAAAATAAATTAGAAAACAACATTATGCCGGAGTAGTAGTTTCAATAAAAATTCCTAGTCTAATAGTGAGATTAGCAAGCACATGAATACACTCAAAACCCTACATTTACTAAGCTTAGCAGAAGCAGGTGACAGTCGGCCTTCGTGACTACAATCAATATCACGAGAAAAGTTAGACTCAAGAAATAAGAGAAAAGGAAGCATAGGAAACCTTCGTCAAGGATCGGTGGCGATCCTCCACTCAATGATCTCCAATTGCTCATCGATGGCTTCCACCAAGGTATCCAAGATCCGCTCGATATAATCTTCCACCGTGTGATCGACCCTTGGGTGGTTGACGTCGAAGAAGGTTGAATGTAAGATGCACACAAACCTGTGTTCGTCGTAGGTTAGGCCGTATTCAGTTTCCGAATCGGCCATTCATGGATGTTATCGGACGAAGTCTTCCCACGGCTTACTAGGCTCTTTGATTATTGTGGATGAGAAATAAGTTTCTCGAGACGTGGTGGCGGTAGAAGGAGGCCGGCCAAGGGAGAAGGGTCTTAAAGGTTTTACGTTGGGCTTGAGATGGAGAAGGAATAAAATCTGAAATAATTTCAGATTTTTGGAGAGGAGGGGAATTGGAATTTGAAATAATTCCAAAAGGGAATGAGAGAGGGGAGGGCGGCGGCAAGGGGGAGGCTAGGGATTTATTTTCCAAATATCAATATCAGATTTTGGAAATAAATAAGGTGTGAGGGCCTTGGAAATTTCGGCTAGAGAGGATTGGGGGATTTGAAATTATTTCCTAAGTTAAGAGTGGAGTTTAGGAAATAATTAAAAGGACATTAATGGGATAGGGGGGCCGGCGGCATGCATGGGCTAGGGGTAATTAATGTGGGGAATTAAAGCTCTTTAATTTAGTTTTAAGAATTAGGAAAGTAAATAAACAAATCCAATTTGAATTTAAAATTCAAATTGATTTAAGTTAAATACTTTCCTAAAAAAGATGAATTAAATTGGGATAGAATTTTGAATTTCAAATTCAAATAATTTAAGTTTCAAATTGCATTCACCCAAATTAAGAAACCTAAGAACGAAGAGGAGAGGGTGAGGCCGACGGCTATGGGTTAGGGCTGGCGGGTGGGGAAAAAGGATTGGTGTGGGGGAAATTGCGAGGTGGCAAGGTGTGGGAGTTAAGATGGCTGGCGGTTTAGGGGTGTCGGGGCGGTCAAGGCTGGCGGCTAGAGGAAAAGGGGAAGGGGAAAGAAGATAGAGAATTAAAACCACGAACCCGGCCATCTCCAAGGTTGGTGGGTAATGCGGCAATCTCCCTCTCAAAGGGATCTCTCTCCGATCTCTTTAGCTCTCTCAAGAACCCCAACAAGAAAACACAATTCTCAAATAATCATTTATTCCTCCCTTGAAAAATAAAACAAGGGGTTATAAATGGCCTAGTACATGAGACTCAAGAAATAAAAGATGAAAATGCCATCGGGGCTTACATACGACATCCATTTACTAGAAGGGTACAACGAGAAATAAAATAACCTAAAAATTAAAACAAATACAACGACACATAAATAAAACAATACATAATATAAATCAAAAGTACAATGACTCGATCGTGGCTGTGGATCGGCGATCTACGGCCACGCCTCTGATAAACCTTCCATGATCTAATGTCCTCATCAAAGGTCCATATAGATTTCTTTTTTCAAATCATCATTCAAGAATGCCTTTTTGACATCCAATTAATGAAGAGCCTAATCATTGTTGATTGCCATTAAGATGACCCAAATAATGTCAAGTCTTATAATAGGAATGAAATCTTGAAGTAGTCAATCCCATAAGTCGGGATGAACCCTTTTGTGGTCGCCCATGCTTTTTATCTCTCAATGGATCTTCCAGATTGATATTTGTTAGTAAAGACCAATATACGCCCGATAAGAGTTGCATTCTTTGGTTTATGAAGGATTTCCCATGTTCCATTTTTTTCAAGAGCTTTCATTTCATCTTCCACAACTTCTTGCCATTCTAGTTTATTAAGAGCCTCTTCTATAGTCTTTGAGATTTATATTTCTGCTAAGTTGGAAACCGGCGTTTTCAGTGAGGAGAGATGGCTATATTGTACGAAATTTGCTATAGGAGTGCATGCACAAGCATCTTTTCTTTGTGCAATGGGTCATTTTTCAGTAATTTCATTTTAGAGAGCCGTGGGATCACATTTTGGACATGTTGGTTG